GTCATAGGCAAAAACTGCATGTTGAAAAGATGGATAAGTATTCTAAGTGACCCTGTATCCAAGGCTTGTCCTTACAAATCTAGACGTTAACATGATTTTCTTGACCAAGCTAGTGTGGAGATGTCTCAGTTGTTATGAAGCATGCTTTGTTCTCTGCCGACAAACTTAACTAGAGACTAAGACCCCACAATACATGTATCTCCCTTTTCTGCTCTTTAGTGCTTCAAGCTTCTAAATCCTATTAACAGCTGTCAAAACCTGGTAAACTATTTAGATGCTTTCACAATTTGTTTAATTGGATAGTTAGGAAATGGCATGCTAGAAAAGGTTTTTTTTTTCCTTTCCTTTTTTTTTCAATTTTTTTTTTTTTTTTTAGCCTGGCTGAACATCTGTAGCATTAGGGCCTCATTATCTCTGAATTGGCATAGCAAATCAGTGGCATCATTAAAATGCCACATTAAGATGATTAAGTTTCTTTGTTATCCAGTTGACTTTTGCATGTGCTGAGGATTTCATGGTTATGACCCCCGATCCTTGTAAAACACTTGAACAGCATCACCCTTTTGTGCCTCCGATGTTTAACAGCTTCCGTCTTCTGCTTTCTGCCATCTTCATAGTATCTATTAGCAAACTTCAGGCCATAATTCCAAACTTCATGTCTTGTCTCCCAGGGCTCGATTTCAGCTCTCTCTAGTTCAGAGTGAAGGTTCAGGATCCCCCCTTCTCCATGTGGAAATTTCTGTTCATGCTCTGTGATGGACACCCAGGTTGCCTTTGTTGTTTTGCCATCGTCGATAGGTTCATCTCTCCACCGGTGCATTTCATGGTGCCTGTAAGAACAAACCGAGGCACGGTTGGCTGAGACTGATATTGCCCCTGCAGGATTTAGATGTTGGATCCTTTCCAGAACCTATTGTTTTTGCAGTGTCTCAGGTGAAACCAAAAATGTCTACTCTGGAGTGTAAGCTTTTCATGTGATAACCATCACCCCAGGAAATGAAACCATGTGCATCAGCCCCAGTGAACCGAGCCAGTCCTTTGTTCTCTTCTGCCTACAAAATCCTGGGGGGGGGGCAGAAGGGGGACAGGGTGCATGTCAGTGTATGTAGTTTTCCTAAGCCCTCCGCAACATAGAAAAACAGGAGCATATGTACCCGAGTAGCTCTTTTTGAAAGAAGTTTAGCTTAATCTAGTTTCCTGTGGGTTAGGTTCAATTTGCACATCTTTTTCCCTCTGGGAATTTAGAGCAATTGTCTTCACCAGCAGTTTGTGGTTTGGCCCACGTGTGTGTGTGTGTGTGTATATGTGTGTTTTCATGTTTTTTTTTCCCTAAGCTAAATTGGAACTATTCTCAAGAAGCAGATTAAGTATCGATATAATAATACAGGTATACCTTACTTTTAGAAAAACACTATAGGAAAATATGCGTTCACAATACAGATAAGTTATGGGATATTCTTTACTTTACAAAAATTCAGTGTGCTCCAATGGCAAATTTCTCTAGTATATCAAGTGTTGGATGACAGGTTAGTAGTTTGTTTGTTTTAACCTCAGCAGGTAAAGCTAAATTATGAGCAGTGACCCGAAGATCGATAAAAAGTAAAGATAACATCTCTAAAATTATGATGAATATCAGTGAGAAAAATAGAATTTGATTTACCAGGAACATCCCTGTGCACAAAGTAAGGCATACCCTCAGTGATAAAAACACAGATTTCTTTTTCTATGGCATTGGGTCCATGGCAACTAGATCTAATTTGTGAGATAATATTTGCAAAGCACTTAGTATAGTACTTGGCACACAGTAGGTGTTTAATAAATGCTTATTCCCTTGTCCCATCTAATTCCCCTTTTTTATTGTGAAGGGTCTGTCTTCCTTGCAGAGGCCTTAAGAATTCTCCCCTTTCCCCCATTTTCTGCTTTTTCTATTCTTAAGCAGTTGAGTCATGCTTTTCTTGGTAAAAAGGTTGGAAGCAGTATCCTCCTGAAGAATAGACAGCTGTCTCTTTGCGTTTAGGTATAACCTACTTAGAGTCAGGATACTAAATTAAATAACCTCCTGGGATCTTTTCCAGACCTTGGATTCTAATCCATGATATTCTTTAATTATGAATGCTACTGCTACTAACAAAAGCTGTGCTTTAATCCTGGCTGCTTGTTATTTCCTTTTAGCTTGCTACACATCTGGTTCTTGTTGACCATTCAGGGACATCCTGATATTGGCTGGCCCAGTATTAAACCAACAGCAATGACAGGCCATGTTCTTTTGGTCCAGAAAGACCTTCGTGTCTCTTTAAACAGCCTTTCGCTCTCTCTGTCTCTCTGTCTCTCTCTCTGTCTCTATGTCTCTCTCTGTCTCTCTGACTTTAAGACCTAGGCATCTGAGATAAAGAGAAAAAAAAATGTTCTGACTATGCATCATATTCCTCGGGACTTAAGATAACCATTAATTGGTCAGAATAGGGTTGTTGGACCAGCCAAACTCCTTAGGAAAGTAGCACCAAAGACTTCGATCTCTTCCTTGTCTTGTGTGTCCCATGCATACTGCATGACCTGACCAGCCCATTTCATCACTTTACATTCACTGACCACGAGACTGACCGAATGTCTTTGCAGCCATTTTTCTAACCAAAACGAAAAGGTGCTTTCTTCTGCTGGCCCTCGCTATGTGCTGTTTTTGGTTTTCAGAGCTCAGGTTTTCCGTTGAGGTTCTTTTTAACGCCTACATGCAAACTGAAAAGCATTCAAGCTTTGGTGGGATGTCACCCACAGCTGGAGGGACAGTGGAAGGGGGTGGAGGGCACAGCCCTCAGGTGCATCCTTTAAAAAAAAAACCCACCAGACAGAAGAAAACAAAGACTGAGTAGGCCAGACAGCCCCAATTATGAACAGGTAAAGACTGTCCTCTGTCCCAAAAGAAACTGGGAAATGAACGTGCCCACTTAGGAGATGACCTTTCACCTGTAACCCAGAGCAAGCAACTGAGCAAGCACAAAGGGACGTCGGTAATATTCTGTAGAGGATCAGGTGGTGAACCGTGACCTGTGGTGAGGAGCAATGGAATGGAGCTGCTGAGAGATGTCTTCTCTGCTCATGGTTATTGCCTCTGTCTTGCTCTATTAAGCAAACAAAGCTAATATAGATGAAAGTTAAGACCTTGATAGAAGTGAAAATTGAAACTTGGGTAGAAGGTAGCACAGCTGCAGTTTGTACTTCCTCCTGTGTGGTGGCAGGAGTGGCATGTACTGATGTGTTTTGGAAGGGATATAATTTTTTAAAGCCTTTCATCAAAGAGAGTTTGGGGGTTTAATGTCTGTACCATTGCAGAAGAAGAGGAAATAGTTGCCTAACAAGGAGAGATAGAGTTGATAGAAAAATAAAAGCTGGCCTTGGGGTAAGGGAGACCTGGGTTTGAGTCATACTTCTGACATATACTTACGCGGTGACCCTGGGCAAGTCACCTTACCACCCAATGTCCCAGGCAATTTTCTAAGATTGTAAATGGCAAAACACGTGTACAAGCAAAGGGAGTTTCCTCCCTGGGAGTTCCCTACATCAATTAAATCACGGATCTAGTTTAAAAAATAAATCCACAAACAAGGAACCACCTGATCCTTTTAAGCCTAGAGAACAGATCCACATGCAGGGTGTTTTCAGACTCTCAGTGCAGCTTTAAACTATTCAATGATTTTGGGGACACCATGTATGTGGAGATAGGAAGATCATTCCTGGTTCCCAGTCCCAGCTCTGCCGTTAATTAGCTGTATGACCTTAGGCATGTCACCTCTTCTCTCTTGGCTTCATGTTTCTCATCTGTAAAATGAGAGTTTTGAACTAAATGATCTCTTAAGATTCCTTCCAGCACTCAAATTCTATGATTCCTTTGGTCAAAGAGTAACTTGGTATTTCTAAGAGCCAAAATTTTAAGAGGCTCTTACAAATAACAATGAACATTAAGTATCTGAAAGTGTTTTACGGTTGGTAAATCTTTAATTCCCATCCCTGTAAGGTCAGCTGGTGCATAATTCTTTTGACTTTGTTAGTGTCACTGAACACATTTGCCTTCCTGCTTTTTCCAGTCTTTACCTTGAGTCGTTGATTTCTAATCAAGCTCTTTTAGTGACTCTCAGTGTATGGAACAGCCTACAAGTTACTCCCTTGAGCCATCTCAGTTTCCCTCAGTCTTGTAGTTCTGGGCCCCTGCATTTAGCACCCCCATGACCTGGGCATTAGTATCTCTCCTATACAGAGTTGAGGAACTCCTCTCCCCAACTCCCTCCTACCTAACTCTTCAAATTAAAATGAGTCCTTGGAAGTTTAAATTGGAAAATTACAGCTCATTTTGGCCTTCTTAACCATATTTCACTAGTACTGACTGCTTCCTCTGCTTTTAATGCAGTATCTTTATTGGACCCAAGAGAGATGGACAGATAAGACATGTTCTGACAATTAATGAAAGGGACAAGAGACGAAAGCATGGCTCTGAAGCAGGAAGGCCATGTTTATTGTTCATCTTTCAGTCTACAGGAGTCTTAAATGCAGTGTAACTAGGATCTGAAGGCTTCAAAAAGTGTATCTCTGTATCTGAGGGTATATCTTCTAGTCCTTTCTCTGCAGTCTCCTAAAAAAGACAACAATTTTGAGAACCAACCCAGTTTAAATCCTGTATGTCAGAAGAGAGCAAATAGCAGCATTCTGTCATACTTAGTGATATGAGAATACTTCATGTGTTAGTGATGGTTAGAAATCTATTCCCTCTAAATTCCAAAGGGCTGAAATCACTCTTATCCATTCTTTGCAGTTTTGTCAGTAACTCTAAATCCAAGGAATGATTGACTTTCTTAATGATGTCTTCTTGTTTTTGTGGCGACGTTAGCCTTGATATTATGCTAGCCTCATTTGATATTATGTTGTCAGCTGTGGGTCTCTTCTCTTTGAGCTGCTTTGCTAGCTCCAGACGTAGTAATCATTTTTCATTTCTCGCATTTTCTTCCCTGCAGATGATTCAATGAAAGTGAAAGATGAATACAGTGAAAGGGATGAGAATGCTTTAAAGCCAGACCCCATGGAAAATGTGGAAGATCCTGAAATCCCTTACAGCTATCCAAGAGAATATAATGAATATGAAAGCATTAAGTTGGAAAGACATGCTGTCTCTTATGACAGCAGCAGGCCAACTAGTGGAAAAATGAACTGTGATGTGTGTGGATTAGCCTGCATTAGCTTCAATGTATTGATGGTTCATAAGCGAAGCCATACTGGTAAATATTCTTCCATTCCCTTGAGAACTGTCCTGCTACAGCCATGGACAGCAATGCAATGAATAATAGCATCAGGATTCTTGGCATCTTCCTTTGCTTTTGCTGGATGGTTCTGGTCTTATCACCCACTCTGGGCATCATTTTCCCCACTGATTTCTTTCTGCTTCACCACAGCATTTCAAAAAACCTAGTAAACATTTTATAGGTTTTCTGAATGAAAGAGGCCGTAGAAGATCAGAAGTCCATGAATATTTCTTCTTCAGTTAAGAAATAGGAATTAAGTTCTGTGACTCACCTTCTAGTTCATCCTTTGTCTGTTTGTATTTTGACTTTAATAACAGCCCATCACTTTGTGTTAGGTCCAGGTTTGAAAGAAAAGGAGGTACTTTTTTTAAAGGCAAATTTAAAAACATGCTTTTAAAAATAAAGGGGTAGCCTATAGAAATACATAGAAAAGTATCCCTCCCATTAAACATGATTCTCTTTCCTGGACTTTTCATATAGGGACTTTAAAAAAGATCCATTTCTCATATTTGGACTGTTATTATGACCAGGGTCCATTGGTTTTACTTGGACTGTGCTTACATTTTTATCATGGTGGACTTCTAAATAGAAGAGAGGAAATCATAAAACCTTACATCTGTAAGGCACTTCCAGAAACCATCAAATTCATTCCAATGAATCAAAGAAAGATAATATTTAAACTGCCCCCAGTGGAAAGGATGATTATCTTATTCTAAAATGTCTACAGGGAAGGTAATTCTATAGCCTATAAGCTGAGGCTTTCCCCTGCCATGAAATCTCACTCCTAGCTGATCCCCAGTGTGGACAGAATCCCTCCTCAAGAGGAACTTCCATGAGGGCATCTTGCCTTAGGAGTGTGTGTGTATACATGTGATTCTACACTTGCCTGGTGACCAGGAAGTTTCCATTTTTGTCCTTTTTAAAGGTGAACGCCCATTCCAGTGTAATCAGTGTGGGGCATCTTTTACTCAGAAAGGTAACCTCCTCCGCCACATTAAACTTCACACAGGGGAAAAACCTTTTAAGTGTCATCTCTGCAACTACGCATGCCAGAGAAGAGATGCTCTCACAGGTCACCTTAGGACACATTCTGGTAAGTGAGAGAAATGAGCATCCCATGTCTTATGAAGAACTGACTCTAGGCATTCTTACTCTGACTGTGGAAAATTAAAGGGTTAAATGTTTAGGTTTAATCTGTCGTTCATGTTCTGAAGGGTTAACAACAGCAGAGACCTCTAGGGCTAATTACACTTTCATTAAGACATTAATTGCCTTCCGTCTGGCTCATTGGGAATGATCATCTCTCTACCATCTTTGCTCCCCTAGAGAACAGCAGAGTCAGACAGGAAGAGCTTGCCCTTTAAAAGAGACTTTTAAACATTTTACAGAAATTCCACAGCCTAACAAGTATTTTCTTGTAAAGAAGTTTTATGGAAAGATTAGCGTCCTGAAAAAGATCTTTCACTCAAGAGACTCTTTCTGTAAGCAAGCACCACTCCCAACATTCATGCTGTATTATCAAAGTTCAGTCATTTTGGTAACAAAGCATTGCCTTGGGAATAACTTTTTGGCCCTCCTGGGATAAATTCTCAAAAGTTAACTTCTCTTTCAACCATCAGGCTTCCTAATTCTCTAGAACCACCAGTAGTACAAATGTACATGAAAACCTTCATTCCCCAGTTGGTGATTTTGCTTTTCATTTGGATGGATCAAGGTCCCAAATATGAATTATTTTTGCATGTTCAGGGTTTCATACCCAGAAAAATAAGATTGAGTTCATGTAAATATAATGGGGGATGGGGAGACTGGCCAATGGGAGCCCAACCCTCAGAGCAAAAATTTGGTACTTGGTGTTCTTTATAATTATCTCAGAAATAGACTTCATTGAAAGAAACAACAGATCTTTAACCTTGTCGAGATTGGCTCCTATTGCTTTGATTAAAAAAAAAATCAGTAATCAAGTATCTGGCTCCAACTAAGACTGAGACTTTTAGGGAACAAAAATACATGTTCACCCCAAAGACTAGGATACTTCAGATAGGCTTTAAGTGACAAAGTAAGAATTCTCTTAAAATATGTTAGGACTGAAAGGTTAGTTGAAAAGTTAGAACTCTCTTCCATTGTCTTTTGTAGTAAGAGCCAAGAGTAGTGGAAATATTTAATATTGATCTTAGGGATTGCCAGTGACTTTAATGGAGAAACTTAAATTTTTAGCTACCAACAAATTTAAAAGTTGCATTGAATTTAAATTAAATTAGTTAAAATAGTTTCATTATATGATTTTTTTCCTTTTTAACCCTCAACAAAACAGTTAAAATGGAAAACTCACATTTTAAGGAAAATATTTGATTTTTTAAAAAATTTCAGGGGCAGCTAGGTGGCACATTAGATAGAACACCGACCCTGGATTCAGTAGGGCCTGAGTTCACATCCGGCCTCAGACACATAACACTTACTAGCTGTGCGACCCTGGGCAAGTCACTTAACTCCATTGCCCAAAAAAAAGAAAAAAGAGAAAGAAAGAAAAATTTCAGCTAAAGAAAAAAGGTAAAATAAAAGTTGTAGCTGCTAATACATAATATCATGTTCATGATACATGTTTCATTAGCATCAGAATGATCTACACCCTGAGTAATGCAGAAAGTTAAAGCTGTTTCTTGGATGATTCAAAGAAAGTAACTTAGAGATTAGGGATAGGAGAGGTATAGGTCCCCTGTTAATGTGGATAACCTTTTGAGGAAGCTTTTTGATTCATTCAACCAACATTTACTGAGTGCTTCTTGATCCTTATCAGGATAATTCAGGTGAAAACTCCCACTTCCCATTATTGTTATTCAAGCAATTGGACCAGTTTATCTACTCATTTCAAAAGCTTGGGCTATGGGATTTTAGTATTTAGTTTGGGATTGGCATTGCTATTGAGATTAGCCCAATTAGCATTTCTCTGGCCCAATCTTTACTATTGCTACAACAAAATCATGAACTTTCCCAATCAGTCACAGTATAAGGAGGAACATTTCCATTTTGTAAGGACAGCTAACCATGTTAGTGCCCTGGGCAACCCATCAGGCTTTAATTGGCAGTGGTCTCCTAGGGAACAGCATTCCTTACCTCTAGCCAGGTTGCCCCCCACTACCACCACCACCAAAGGAGCCTTTCTCTTCTGATCTTATCCCTACACCTCACTGACCAACTGGAGGAATAAGCACAACCATATGAGTATCTTATGGGAAAGGAAGACTTGGCCTGAAGACAATGACAGCTCTTAAGTTACAGTCACTACATTCAAATTCCCCTCTCCTGCCCTGATACACTGCCCTTGGGAAGCATCAAATAGCTTTCTATACTGCCTGTCTCTGCTAGGACTACTAGTTACAGGGTATTTGCCATCTTATTCCACAAAAATTAAGTTCAGTAATAATTTGCAATGTCTACATGTAAAGACTTCCCCCCTCCCTCCCTCCTCATGGTCAGTGAACCTGAAGCCCAAGGCTACCAACCAGGAGGTGTTTGTCCTCCAGCCCCTGGTGGTTACTGAGTACACCTCTGCTCTTCTCCTAGTTGAGAAGCCCTACAAGTGTGAGTTTTGCGGAAGGAGTTACAAGCAGAGAAGCTCCCTTGAGGAGCATAAGGAACGATGTCGCACTTTCCTGCAGAACACCGGCATGGGTGACACTGGTGAGTTGATCAAAACTTGCAGGGATTTTTTTTTTCTTTCACTAGGTCCAGTGAAATCCAAATCTTGTTCCAAATCACTACTAATTAAAGAAATGAAAACAATTCTGAGATCCACCTCACACCCTTCAGAGTGGCAAAGATGACAGAAAAGGAAATAACAAATGCTGGCAGGGCAGTGGGAAAACAGGCACATTGATGCACTGTTGGTGGAGATGTGGATGGCTACAATTCTAGAAAGCAATTTGGAGTTATACCCCCTTGAATTATTAGACAGTGTGTGCCCTTTGACCCAGCCATACCACTACCAGGCCCGTGCCTCAAAAGTGATCAAAGAAAAAGGAAAAGGTCTTTTATGTACAAAAATATTTATAGGTCCAGGCATTGAAACGAACAATAACAACAACCTTGGCACGTAACAAATGTGCTCTATACAAGTATGAATTGTTATAAGTGCTGTCTGATTTTTTTAAACAAGTTGTTCTTTTCTTATAGTGAATGATGAATTGCTTTCTGTAGGTCACTATCAGACGTCGAGCAGTTTAAAAGTTCCTAAAAACAGAAAGATTCCCAAAGTTGAGGACTAGAATAATGTAAGTTCAGGAAAAAATGAAGTGGAAATCAAGAGTCGCTCAGCTGTGCTGGCTCTGATGTGGAAATCTTTGTATAGATAAAATCTTTTTTCTATAATGTTAGGAGTTGGCCAACTGAATTTAGTTGGTCTGCAACTGCTTCTGCTTTTTATCCTGATGGCATCTTTGGTTTTATCAGGGAGTTGGATTTCCTCCTTATTTCTAAACAGAAATGTTTACTGCAGTTTCTTCACACACACACACACACACACACACACACACGAACAGAAGAAAAAAAATAAAACTAAACATTCAACTGTCATGCCTGAGAACACAAAACTAAGCAGACTGAACCGAAGACAGAAAGAATGTCAGAGTCTGCATGTAAACCCATCTTTTAAACAGTGGGACAGGTCCTTTTTCAATAAGAAGAAACTTCCAAGCTTTGAAAATTCACTATTCTGTAGAGAATCAAAGGAGTAATTACAGGAATAATGTGATAATATTATTAACAACATAATAATGTTATACTTAATAATATAATAATAAATACTAGAAAAGGCAGTGAGGTGGCACAGTGGATAAAGTAAAGGACCTAGAGGAAGGAAGACCTGAGTTCAAAACTGCCCTGAAATTTATTAGTTGTGTGACTATGGACAAGTCATTCAATCTTGTTGGCCTCCATTCTTCATCTGTAAAATGAGCTGGAGAAGGAAATGGAAAACCACTCCAGTATCTTTGCTAAAAAAACCTCAAATGGGGTCACAAAGAATCAGACACCACTGAAACGACTGAACAACAAACAGTAATAATTACAGAATAATCACAAGAAGGGACTTTAGAGATGATCTCGACCAACTCCATGACTTGACAGATAAAATTACTTGCCCAAAGTCACACACCTAATTATTAGCAGAGAAAAGATTTAGAACCTAGATCTCCTAAACCAAAAAATGATCCTATAAATAAAAAATTGGGTAAAGCCATTATTCTGCACATATTGATGACCATTTTGGTGGTCATTACCATCTTATGTATTTCATTTCCCATACCCTTACTAGCTGTTCCCCATTAGGAATTTCAAACTAGTGGAATTACCAAAATAAATTATTTCCTTCTCTTCAGTGGTATAAAGTGATTCAGGAAATGCTGAATTATCAAAGTTGAGTTCATTTACATTTCATAGGGTGTTTTTATGGGTGTGTACAATACACTTTTTCAAGTATCAGCAAAAAAAAATGTAGGCATAACTAAGTAAAGTTTGACTTTTTTTTTCTTTTTGGAGAACAGAACGTGCTGTAATAGTGGTTTCATCTTGTAAAGTATACACATTCACGGAACAGGAAATGGCATGGGGTAGTGAACAAAAGAACAGTGGACTTGCTTTCAAAGAGCCTGAGTTCAGGTCCCAATTCTGTTGATTACCTTATTACCTGTGTGACTTTGGGCAAGTCACTTAGCCTTTCTGAGCCTGAGTTTACTCATCCATAAAATGAAAATGATTAAAGGCATCATAGGATTTTAGATCAGAGCCAGAAGGGACCATAGAGATTATTTGGTCCAACTTCCCTCATTTTATGGGAGAAATTTCTGAGACCCAGCAAGGTTCAGCACTAAATTCTAACGTCTTCTAGTTAAATGGTTCTCCAGGTAAAAGAGACTACATGTCAATCAGTATGACCTAGTTCTGTTGCATTTTCTAATGTCTAATTGTTTCCCATGACTTTTAATCCAGAATGAATAGAGCTCTTACTCAACACTAAGCCATTTGCTTCACTGTTGGCATCATTCTTCATTCTCTCTCTTTCTTTAAAATATGGCATCTCAAACTAGACTTCATGGAGGACATAAGGTGGGCCTTGGGGGGAATAGAAGGACTTCAATAGGCAGAGGCAACAGGGTTTCAGACATGAAAGAAAGCTTTTATGAATGTGAGAAGAGAGTGTGGTTAGAATTCAGGGAATAGCTGGTAGTTCAGTTTGGTTGGAACATAGAGTGTGTGAAAGAGGAAGAAATGAGACAAGAAAGATAACCTTGAGTGGAATTATTAATGGATTTAAATGTCAGGCTTTCACATTTTATCCTAAAGGCGGTAGGGAACTGCTAAAGGTCTTTGAGCAAGGGAATGAAATGGTCCATCTGTGCCTTCAGAAGATTATTTTTGTCAGTGATGTGACTGATAGAGTGGAGATGGGAGAGAATGCAGACAGGCAAACCAGTGAGGAGGCTGTTACATTAGTCTAGGGGAGAAGTAATGAAGTGGAGGCAAAAAGGAGGAGATGGATGGGAGGGGGTGGATGTGTAAGCAGAATGAACAGGAATTGGCTAACTAGGAATTACTCAAATGTTAAGGCTGAGTGACTGATGGGGGTGGGCTTGGTGGAGCCATCAACAGAAATAAAGATATTGAGAGGAGGGGCAGCATTTAGGGGAGGTGATTTCTGTTTGGGACACGTTGCTTGGGGTACTCTCGAGACATCCTGGTGGATGGTTACTTGGGAAAGTGAAAGTGGAGGGCTGAGCTCAAAGATTAGAGAGTCATGAGATTACTATTTTGTATGGCAAAACATCCACCTTACCAATTTCTTTTATCTATAGTTATGTTAGTAGGCATCACACATAGAGTCACATATAGTCATTCTATCATCTTAGTAAAAGCTATGTACAAGAATGCAAAAATTGTAAAAAGGCAAAACTTACTAGATTTTTTCATTTGATTTTGTCTTTCTACCAGTGTGGGGTTAATAGGTGGCATAAATTCAGGCTCATATTGATTATCACATAAATTGTAAATACTTAGAGTAGGACTCAATATTTGCATATTTGTGTAGGGTGGTGAATATTTTATCACCAAACGATTATTAAGTGCTTACTATGTATTAGGCACTAGAAGAAATACAAAGATAAATAAGCTGTAAGTCCTGTCCTCAGGAAGCTTAGTAGGAAACATAGTGTGTACAAAGATAAGCATGCACATAGCAGCTGACACTTAAGTAGTGCTTTAAAGTTTACAAAGTTTTTTTATACATGCATATATATACACACATACATACATGTATACATATATGAATGTCTGTGTATATATTCCTAAAAGAGGTTTTAATACCCTGTGTGCATACATATATGTATACATATACATGTATGCACACACATACATATATACGCACATGTTTGTGGGTAGATAGTATCCTAAAGGACTTTTAGGGTACCCTCTACATACATACATACATGTATACATACACACATATACATATATATACACATATGTGTGTATAATCCTAAAAGACTTGGAAGATACTCTGTATATACATTCATATAAACATATATGTATGCTGTATATATGCATGCTCCTAAAATACTTTTAGGAGATCCTATATACATACATACATACATACATACATACACGTGTGTGTGTATATATATATACACTCATATATACATGCCTAAAATAACTTTAGGATACCCTGTATACACATACATGCACATATATACTTATGTACACACATATATACACGTGTATAGATAGAATCCTAAAAGACTTTGAGGATACTCTGTATATACATACATGTGTGTGTATGTATGTTGTATGTGTATGCATGTTCCTAAAAGACTTTTAGGACACCCTGTATACACATACACATGTATGAACACATAGTCTTATTTTGTTTTCGTGATGTTTTTATAATATAATGACTAAGGGTATTACAAAAGAGGCAGCTTCAGAGCTCAGATATGTTAGGTGACCTACCCAGCGCAGTACAACTTGTAAGTACTGGAAACAGGATCCGCACTGAGGTTCCTCCTGGCTCTAAGGTCAGTACTCTTTCCACTTCTTTAGGTTGCTTCTCCAAGAAGATGAAGTTCTGTGAGATCTCTTCCACTTGACTAGATCAGCAAAGGATTGACAGATGAGGTGACATTTGAGCTGAGCTTCTGAAGGATTAGAAGTATTAGGGTGCTCTAAGTCACTGAATAATGTTTCAAAGTATCTATGATTTCACTGGCATGGGTACCTCCTCCACTAACACAGATTCCACCCCTTCATGCTTTGGTAGATGAGTTGTTCAGCCATTCGTCATGTCTTGGCTAGTGGCCAGTCTTCCAATGATGAAGCTCTCTGCACTTAGCTAAGGCAAGTCTTTTAACGATAAATAACACAGTCTGTTGCTAAGCCTGCATAGACTTTTCCCATTTTGTGGGACCTACTGGAATTGGTAATCCATTGGATGAGGCATCAGGGTAGAACTTGAGTTAAATTAAATTGAATAATACTAAGTATTATGTACTTTTCTCTATTTTTATTTCCTAGATTCTCCTTTTTACATCTAGAACAGGCATTCTTAACCTGGGATCTTTGAACTTTTTAAAAATATTTTGATAACTTTGAATAGAATTGGTTTCCTTTGTAGCCCTATGCATTTTATTTTATAT